CTTCAAGAAGAGAGCATTGGTATTTTTGTCTCTTCCATCTGCTAGCAAGATAATTTCTGGGTCTTTAATGGCGATCTGAACGACGATTTGTGGTGGTTCTTCATCGGTGTTCGCAACAGTGACAGATGGATGTGTAATAGCCACCTTCTGAGATACGTGTTTAGAGGCAAGTAATAACGTGCTGTCTGATTCATCCGTGGCTAACGCTGACGTAAACACTTTAGACAGAACCAGTAGAAACTCCAGGTTCACTACCGCGTTGAAGCTCTTTATTTCCATCTCAACTGAATATGTAAGCAGAAAAAGGCGAAGTTTGAGTTTTCGGCCTCAAAACAACGGTACCCCAATGTCTTAATGTATTCTACACACTCTGGTTTCAATCACATTTAACTACAAACTAATAAAGCAATTATCAATTGAGCGTCGAAAGTAATCTGATATTTCTTTGGTTTTGCTTTACTTCGGTCTGTGATTGATCTAGAAATCTTTTGCCATGCTTTAGGCCAATCAGACGTCAAAAGATAACCGATCGCGGTTTGGTTGCCCGCGTTTTTTATTTCCCTATTTTAAATGAGTCCTCATCGATCAATGATGTCACAAACCTTCGTTATGATTGGCTATTGGGATAACTTTGGTTTTGGTTTTACGTCAGTCAATGGAAAACTGATCTGTAGGCTAATATTCTAAAATTATTTACCTCATTATCACAGTCAATTTTGTACTGCAGCAGCAAGGATGAAAACAAAGAACAAAGTGTTCTTCCTACATGAAACTTAGTCTTTAAATTAGAATAAAACAATAATCTTAATTTCGGATTATATTTTAGGTTCACATTCAATTGATGGAGTGATGAAAAAATGGTGGAATTTTCGACGTTTACCTTTCTGCTTCTATAACAAAGATATCAAACACAAGAGCAAACATAGAGATTTTTAAAGTGTTATAGAGAGCTTTGTATCTCTCGTGAGCCACAAGTGCATTTGGAAGGAGAATTTCACCCTAAGCTGAGTTGTCACCAAATGACAACGTGACCATAAGAATGAAAATCATAATCAAACTTACTGTTTTTATCCTGAGCAGCAGTTTGCTGGAACTGAATATCGATCATGTTTTCAACATCACTTGAGCCACCACTAAACTTTTCAATCATCCTGAAA